AACCAAGCGATTCTGTGATTCTGTGATCTCCTGTACCTGGAGTACTGTATCCAGCTTTGGAGTCCCCCACACAAAAAGGACATTGAAGTGCTGGAGCAGGTCCAGAGGAGGCCACAGAGATGATCAAAGGGCTGGAGCACCTCTCCTACGAAGACAGGCTGAGAGAGTTGGGGTTGTTCAGCCTGGAGAAGAGAAGGCTCCAGGGGGACCTTATAGCAACCTTCCAATACCTGAAAGGTGCCTATAAGAAATCTGGGGAAGAGCTGTTCACTAGGGCATGTAGTGACAGGACAAGGGTAATGGTTTTAAATTAGATAAAGGGTAGATTTAGGTTGGATATTAGGAAAAAGTTCTTCAGTATGAGGGTGACAGATCACTGGCACAGGGTGCCCAGAGAGGTGGTGGAGGCCCCATCCCTGGAGATATTCAAGGTCAGGTTTGATGGGGCTCTGAGCAACCTGGTCTGGTAACATTGTCCCTGCTCACTGCAGGGGTTGGACTGGATGATCTTTAAAGGTCCCTTCCAACCCAACACATCCTGTGATTCTGTGATTAAAGAGAAAAGTTTGTTTGTGAAGCATCCCTGCATGTAATCACACTAAATCAAGAGACAGTTCAAGTCTACACATGAACAGTTAGTATAGAGTAGCTAACAAACTTTCAATTCACACTTGCTCTTGATGTATTAACTTTCTGATGTACCCAGTTGCTCAGATTTTATTTGCACTGGACCTGCACCTACTGCTATCTGAAACACTGCACAAGCCAAGTTTGCAATAGCCATCCAGAACCCAATCACTGTTTTTACTGCCCCTTCGGTTACTGTGCAGGACTGAGGGCACAGCAGATTTGGGATTTCAAACATTGGTCATGAATGGTATGTCCAGAAATTGAGGATGCAGGTGATAAAACAATGCTCCATTTTTATCTAGGAATGCTGTAGCTTTTCAGCCTCTTAAATGACTGCATTAAAGTGACAGAATCAAGTGTGGACTGATTGTGTAATGCCTCATAATAGCATTTTGCTTCTTATTAGCATTTCAAATGCCTTCTTACATCTTTCCTAACCCCACTTTAATTTTGTGCTTAATAAACACAGTCAATATGGTTTTGTTTGTTCAGAAGTGCCAGACGTAGAGTTTTTTGAAAAAACCCCACAAAAACCCCCCAAAAAACAACTCTGAAGAAGTTGAAGACAGAAACTGTTATTTAAATTACTTTCCACTTTTCATAGTGTTAATTCACACTGGTGCTCATATAAGTAACACACTTATAATATTGTTATTAATGCAGAATTTATGCCCAATATTATACTTCAAATTGTTGTAAGTCTAGGAAGTACCTAAACCAAATAAAAATACAACAGTGTGCACATTTGCATGCTCACAAGTTGGATGCTTCAATGCTGTGTAAGCCTGTGTCTGTACATCTCTAGGAATTCAGTATTGGACTAATACAGCATTTTACATGTTCCAAATAAGTCCTCATATCTAACTGCAGTCTCACTGAATTTAAAGATTTGGTGTACATAAAAAATGAGAAATTAATTTGTTGGAAGTTTTAATAAATATATTTCTCTCTGTACAATTATTTTTAATGCATGTAAGAACAGTATTTCAAAGAAGAATATTGTTAGTTGTTAGATGTTAATATGGAGTGAAAAAATCCATGGTACAGAATATAATTTTGTTCAATAACTGACATTTCTCCTGAATAAGGAGTTGGGGCTTGATTTTACATTTCTGTTTTCAGTCTGGTGAGCTTTTTTGTGTACTTAGGTATTTGCTGGACTGAAGCATAAGGCTCCTTATTGGTGGACCTTCATGCATATGTTTTTAAACATATATAGATCCTTCCTGAATTAGATAATGTGGTATCTCAGAATCAGAATATTTCCAGCTTATTTTAGTTATCAGCTGTATTTAATCAATGCAGCTCTAGTTAGAGTGTTTTGATTAAAATTCATGTGGAAAATGAGATGCAGTGTGTCTGTGGTCTTGTCAACTGCCAGTATTCTCTCATGAAATCTCAGAGAACTGGATTTTAATCCTTGTGTTCATTTCTCTGCATGTTTATGTGTTTGCTTAGCTGAAAGTGGAAAAAATGAACGTCAGTAAATTTTTGTACTATCACAGTACAAAAAAAAATACCCTTTTTGTTATGATAGGAGATGGACTGGTCAATCTAAGGAGGTTGGTCAATTAAATATTTGGATGAAAGTTTTCCAAAAAAGAATATGGATACATTTCTTCACTATTTATGCTGAATTTTTGTGACTTTCTTTCAACACCAGATCTTATTGCTCAACCAGGAAACAAGCTGATTCTCAAAGCTGAAAGGGTACCCTTCGGCTATAGGCATAAGCGATGGTGCAGCTGGGACTCAGCAGCAGGACTTCTGGTGGCTCACCAGCCAGAACAGCTCTGTCCCACAACTGTGGAGGCTCTCAAATGCTCTAATGTCTCTCAAGTGTTAAAACACAGTTTTTATGAAAAGCTTTTGCCCTCTGTTTTGAACATGCTGACTGTATCCCACTTCTTATTTGCATGGGGCACAGGGCATTAGTTTTCACCTCTGAAGCTCTTTAGTGTCTGTCCCTTCTGTAACCAGCAGTGTTCATTCACTGCCAAGGTGAGATTCCTGCCTCTCTTAAGCACCCGTTGCTCATGTGTAAATTTTTATACCATCCTGGAAGGTGTTCCTAGAAATGTTGACACAGGCACTGCATTATTCCTCCTCAAAGCTTTCTGAAAACTGAAGTTGTTCAGGGGCTCCAAAGCTTGGCAGTGGTTATGTGATGGTTGGTTGAGACTCCTGGCTGTTAAGTGTGTGATTTATTCGCACTAAATCCCAGTTGCATTTCCCTTGTTCCTCTCTTTTTATGGTAACATTTTTAATCTTTTATCTTGTACTTAGCTTATAAGCTTTTTCTTACTGAGACTGTTAATTATTTTGTTTTCACACTATGTACTGATTTAATAACTTAGATCTCTAGTTGTTACTGTAAAGTGTATCCGAATAGTTACTTAAATATACTTGAGAAGACCTTGAATTAGAGCCTCTTTCTTTCCTTATATAGATTTACTTTTTAGAGAAGTATTCAAAGTTGCTTTCAGACTGGGAACTAGGAAAGAGTTTAACTCTTCGTATGCTGGACCATAGCATGGGCCATAGTCTGTTTTAATGTGTTTAACAGCACTTTGCAAGGTAAATTTTCTGATTGCAGCAATCAAGAACAGATTAGACTGGATTTACAGTGCAAGTACTTGAATGGTGTTCATTGTAAGTGTCTGGATAACTTGGCTGAAAGGTGCAGCTCCTGACTCCCAGTATCTGCAATACTCAATGCTCTGTTTTTTTGTTTGTTGTTGTTGTTTGCCTTTTTTTTTAAATACAAATGCAAGTGAGCTTCTCCACATGTATTCTCTTAATCTCTGCTATACTTGAAGGGATGATTTCTCCAAAGCTTGTACAATAGATGTGTTCCCAATGAAGCTGAACATTCCTGAGTCCTCTATATCTTGGTTTTTTTTAGATTAATCGTGCCCCAAGCTTTGGAACTGATCAAAAGATAGACTATGATGTGAAAAAAGGTGTTCTGCTAAATGCATTAAAGCTTCTTAACATACGGTAAACTTGTACTCTTTTATTCAGTCTGATTCTCTTTCTGTTGCTTTGATTTTTTTAATATTTTTTTTTAATTTGAATTGGACTAGGAGAAAATTAAGGCCTTCTTTTCCACCTTCGTATTTTCAGAATGTAAATATTTCCCTTGCTGTCAGTTTTGCTATTGAAATTAACCTAAATTACATTTTCTTCTTGCTTTTATGCATGTGAAAAATGAGTGGTAATAGTAATTTTCATAGTTGTTTTTTTTTAAAATGATTTTTCAAACAGGTCTCAAAATGGGGATATGAATGCAGTCAGGAGCATCTGGCCATTGCTTTGATGATTGTTTCACATACACTTAAAAGCCATACCCCTCTACAGGAAAACTTGGGATATGTTGGAAAAGTTGGGATACATTGGAAAAAATTTGCACTTCAGGAAAATAGATACAATCATGTTTTTACATTAAATTATAGTAGGGAAACATTACAGTACACCTTAAAGTGTGAATATATTATAGTCGTAAAAGTCAGTACTTTAAAAAAATCTTATTGAGTGTTTCAGTTCTGATTTTATATCATAAGCTGCACATGACTGACTGGAAAATACCGATGATATACTTGAGATGAAAGTGCATTTCATCACAGCTGCATTGGTTTGACACATCTTAATATTATCTGTGTTTCAGGACAAGTGATAAAAGGAGAAATTTAGCTCAACAGAAGGCTGAGGCTCAAAAAAGACTGTATGGTCAAGGTTCAATGAAAAAACTGCTGCCAGGTTCCTCAGACTGGGAGAAAAAGCGCCACACACTGGAAAGGAGAAAAGAAGAACTGGTAGGAAGGAAAAAGTCTGCTGTTTCTTGCCCATGGCTTATTCTCTGTTTTAATTGTCTTATCTTCTTGGTTTGTAGAAGGAAAGGCTTGCACAAGTACGTAAACAGATTTCCAAAGAGGAGCATGAAAATAAACATATGGGGAACTATAGGTAACTATGTTTGACTGTATTAGTATTAAGTATTTAATGCATTCTTGAAGAATAATGGAAACACGTATTTGTGGTAGATGATAATGTCCCGCCAAAAATGTGTAGGCTTTTGTAGAAACTATATCCATGTACACCAGGCAGTAAAGGTGTTGGGGTTTTTTTTCAGATAGTTCTTTTTTTATTCCAAACTTTTTCCTGCACTTAGGAATTTCTATGACATCAATCACTCTAGTGTTTGTGCAAGACATTTGCTTGAAAGATGTGACTGTTCACTTTCAGTGCACCAAGAAACATGACTGTTATTATTGACCTGTTCTGTAATCACATATGATGATTCTTACCTTGGGTGGGAGTGAGGGGAGCAATATAAATATTACATATTTATACTATAAAAAAATCAAATCTGTGTGTCATCTATAAGTCTTGCCAAAAGTTCAGAAACTTTATTGGTGCTTCCATATCTTTTTATAGAATGGCATTTGAAATACTGTATTCATATTTCTGCACTTTGATTTTGGATGTTAGTAGGTTTAAATGTAAGTATGTTCAGCTTCCTTAGCAAAATATGTTCAGAAGGAAGCTTTAACTTGTTGGTTATAATAAGCATTGTCCAGAAAACAAGAATTTCGTTTTCTGATGGTTTCATTATTATTATTATTTGATATTTGCTTCAATGAGAAATGAAAGCAAGGCCTACAAATATTTGGCAAAAGGGAACAGAATATGACTAGGAAGAGTCAATGGGAGCATCTGCCCACTCTTTATAACATTCAGCAAGGACGTGGGAGGTCTGGGTTCACATCTTTTATTCTGAATTAGTCAGAATGCCTTTACTGCTGTTCTTAATTTCTCTTTTTTTGAGCAGATGTTCTATTATTTCCAGTAAAGTTCTCATTTAAGCACATAGATGTTTCTGTGAAATTTTCTTTTTTGTTGAATTAACATTTTGCTTACAAAAAGTCTTTCTTTGTAACACTCCCAGTTTTGATTACATCCTTTCTTGACATATGAGGAGCTGAACTAGTACACCAAAAAAAGCCCACAGTGAAGCAGTTATTTTCATGCTACTTACACGATAAGGAAGGGGAACATTATAATGCTTTAATACATTTTGCTTTTTCAATAATGTTTAAGTCTAAATTTTTAACTGATCACATTTTAGGTTGCTTATTCAGTTCTTGACTGAAAATGAGCCAAGCATTCTCTTTATTTAGCTTGTTGGCTAGCGTAAATCAATAAAAATACAAAAATAAATTTTTCCTCAGGAAAAAGTGAAGTGTCATTTCATGAGGAATGTGCACATGTAAAAGAACAGAACAGCTGTGTGCTTTTTTTGCTACCATGTGTTTGCAAAAAGGCTGAAGAATCAGCAGAGCCTGAGAAGTAAAGGAATCTTGGCTGGAGATGCAGAGAGATTTTATCGGTGCATTATGCAGTATTTTCTCCTGCAGAGCAGGACTAGCTTCTGTCAGGCATTGCCATGGGATCACGGAAGCTTTGGGTGCTACTGTTGCTGCTTGGATTAATATTGCTTTCTGAATAAAAATCCAGAGAAACTTCGGTCAATCTCAGCAGGCTTTGGTTTAATCTGTGGAAGTCAGTTCAGCGGCTGCCTTAGTCAAGGGTCTCTCTGCAAGCACAACCAGCACTGGTTGCAGTAGGAGTCCTGGGTGGTCGAAGTAGGAGCCATGCTTTCAAGCACTCATGAATTCATGAGAAACTGAAAAGCAGGTATACGAGTTTGAAATGGCCTTTAACTGCAGTGTATTTCTACATATATTAAAATGAATATCCTTGCTTTAAAGTATTGCTCTATGGCATTTTTTTCAGCAGTAAAATTGACACCATTAAAAAGTGTTGACTGCAACTAGGTTAGAGCTCCTGCAGGTATTTTATACAAACTGGAACCATCTTCAGTTTGCTGTGGAACTGCCCTGAGTCTAATGGGATCATAACCATCCTTTTTTCTTGCAACAAAATCCTCATGAAAGATACCTTTTCAAGGAGGAAAAGACTGAGAAGGAAGAAGAAGAACTTTGTAAAAAGTTCACAAAAGATCCACAGAAATGTAAAAGTCACATAATGGCAGTCAATACAAAAATGGTACCTGTGCAGGCAGAATTAACTTATGGATTTCTCCTTACAATATGTTAGAAATTCATCTTCTACCTTCATAATTTCTGGCTGTTTCAGGCATTCGTGGCAAATGAATTGGAGTGGTTTTCTTCAAAGCCCATTTTTGCTTGATGAGCATGAATAAATCACCGAGTCCTGCTTCTCATATTGTCATAATCTCCTTACCTGTGATTTTAGAATATTATGGCATAGATGCTCTAATGGAAAATTAGAATCACCCTGTATGTCCATGTACCAGAATTTTTTATTTTCTTATAGCATCTCTTTCTTCCTGTTCATTATTTTGGAGAATTTAGCTTTCAAGTGCAGTATGGATCCAATCTTTAATTTACATCATGCCCATTAACTGTAAGCAATTGTTCAGATTTTCACTGTGTCCTTTTATTACTAATACAAATTACTTCATGGCTTTGAATTTTATAGGCAATATTTTGTTAGTATTTCGTGAATCATTTACACCTGCATGCATCATTCACACCCACTGAAATTTCAGAGTACTGCAAAACTGAGTTCTGCAATATCTCCGGAATGACCTACTTGGTATTTCTTTTGACTGGCTAATTGCTGATTTAAACATCAGTGTGTTCACTGATGTAAAATTAGATTTAGAGAGCAATGTTCAGAGTATGTGTTTTATGATATGATATTATATAATTATTATAGATGGGATGCATATGCATTATAGAAGAGATTGTGAATTAGCTGCATCGCTTTGGTTTCTAGTTTGATAAGTAGCTCAGCTTCTATCTTAAACTTTTTTTTTCCCCCTGTTTTAGGCGAATTTACCCTCCTGATGATAAGACATTACTTGAAAAGTATGAGAGTTTGTTAGCCACTGCTTTCCAGACGTTTCTTGCTGGGAGAGCAGCTTCACTTCAGCGGGAAATGAATAACCCTTTAAAAAGAATGAAGGTACTGAAGCACAAGAAGTATTTGCGTTAGGAGTTATTTATCTTGGAATTCATGAGCTTATGGGTTAGTTTCACGATAATCATGTGTGATGGCTAATAAATAGCATTTGATAATGTTTCCATCGTTTTATTATTATTCTTTGTGCAGCTTGTGGGCCAGATCCTTGAATCTGGATGAACCGCAGTGGACCCAGGGTGGAGACAGGCTAAATGGCTTTAAGCTACTTTACCTTTTCCCTGATCCTCAGCCTTACCCCTGGCCAAACCAGAGGTTGGCAGAAACTGCTTTTGAGCTGGTAATTGCCTCCTTCTTCCTCCAGTAATGTCCCCAGCCTATTCATCCACTTGTTCTGGAATGAGAGATAGCATGAAACCAGCTGCACTAGTTTAAGGCATCTAAAAACTCTGCCTGATTGTGTACTTAGGTAGTCAGAGACAGTAGGAAAATGGATATATTTAAAATAACCAACTAATGTAATTTAATTTGAAATCTGAGAAACAATTTCCCATCTTTGTGGTTGGCATCCTCCAGCAGTTTTACAGGAGTCTTTGTTCAACCCTTTCTTCAGACTTTTATGTTTAATAAATGTTAAGACTTGATTTTAACTTTCATGTTGATCGCAAGCAGAGTTGCACGCATCAGAAGATGCTCCTGTGGAGGGATTCATAGTCTTATTTCAGGAATTAGTAATCAAATTAATTTCAAATTCCTATTGTGTGGTGCTAGAATTTTGGAAAGGTAGGATATGGCCTACTTTGAATTAAATGTAGTGAAATTTCCGTTTCTAGGAGGAGGACATTTTGGATCTTCTGGAGCAGTGTGAGATAGATGATGAAAAACTAATGGGAAAATGCACCAGGCAGCGAGGACCTAAGGTATTTGACTTTCAGATACCAATTTTCTGTTTCACTCTGTAGAGAGGTAGTCTGAGAATTTTAAGTGGGGAGTTTAGTTAGCTGACCCTGGTGGAAGTTTTCTTCCTTAGACTGCCATTAGCTCTTTTTTTTGAAGTATGAAGAGAAGCATAACTACCATTTGTCCAACTAAATCTCATTAAAATTTTAACTGGATATGAAATCCTCCTTTTCCTCTCTAAGCTATTTTGATGAATTATAGTGCATGGCAACAACAGTTGTACGAGAGATTGCTTGATCTCGGTGTGTGAAATTATTTTTATATCCATAGCCTATCTCAAAAGAATGCTTTCATCTTTAATCGATTAGTGCCACTAAGGAATTCTAAGATCATGGTATAAAATAGAAACTCAAAGGATTAATTATGATTATGATGTATCTGTAGCTTGCTTACTTTCTGAAAGGGTTGTACAGTGTATCTTGGAGCCTGTTTAGTATCCAAAATCTGCTTTTAAAGTGAATGTATATTATTTTTAGCTTAATGCTTTCTGGTTGTGTGCACAGTTCTTGTAAGTCTTTGCCTGTGTATCTGTGTAAGCCAGTAAAGATAAATAGTTCGGGCTTGGCTAAAATAAGTATGTTTCTTACATCCGGCAAACACTTTAGGTCAAGTCTGCTTAGAAGAGCCTACATTTATGTACCTGAGCTCTGATGGATTTGTTTATGGATGCATGTAAATTGTTTTACAACATTTTATGTTTCTGAGAACATAGCATAGAAATCTGGGAATTTCTGTACAAAATGAATGCTGATTGTCCTGAGCTTGCAGGGGTACTTTATATATGTGCAAGAATCCGAAGAACTACATCTTATTGCAGGCGTGCATACTGGAAAGAGGATCTGCATACCCAATCTGGTATTAAGATAGATTTGCAGGAACCTCATTACAAATATGGGGATTTTATGAGTTAGTGCTTTAACAGTGGTGGATTCATTTAAAGAAGACAAAAAAAAAATCCAGTCTGCTCTGGCAACACGCTCAACCCACATTCTTAAGGGATTCTTTTCCTTGAGGTTTTGTTTTCAGTTCTTTAACACAGTGTCACTTAATTCCAGCTCAACATCTCAGTCACGTTTTTTCTTTTTCCAGAAGACTGTCTTTTCCCAGCAGCCCTTAGAGAGCATCTGTCTGGTTGACTGTACGCACACAGATGTGATCTATACTATCTCTACACTGGTTGCACACAAACCGTTCCCAAGCTGGAAGCCATAAACATTTAATAGGATACTGAGCCCAATTTGAGAAACCTCTATCAATTAGTTTTATGATGAAGTTTGATCAATTTATGAGTGAGACTATATGACATGGTCTTCTTTTATAGCAGGCAGATGGACTCTGTAGCTTACAAGCTGCTCTACCAGTACAATATTGTTCGTACTTACAGGAGAAAGAAAATAATTGTGTATGACCAAAATTCTCACTTTTATTTTTTTGCCATGAAATCGATGAAATCAAAAGGAAAGGCAATGAAACTAGTTTATCCAAGGAGATTGTTTCTTTTCCTTGCAGTGTGCACACTTCATGCTGTACAGGATCTCTATTCCTGCATCTTTTTTAGGGTCCTGATATACTTCTCAATCATTTAAACCATGCCTACAGTGAAGCCATGTGACTGGAGACTTCCCTGGTTGCATAATGTCCTATGCACTCCCTTTGAAATACAGATGCCCATTGCGGATGGTCCTTGTATCTTGTACCAAAAGAGCATCACCTCTTTCCTGTAAGGGGTAAGGTGCATATGACTAATAATATGCATTTGATTGGCCACCTCTTTGTAAAGGGTCTGCTGTGAGATACATAGTATCTAAATATATATCTGTATAGAAATCTGGTGAGTGAGGTAGTTTGTAAAACTTGCTGTCAATCTATCAAGTAAAAGAATAATCCAGCTGTAAAACTCATCTTGTAGTCATAAAATCCTACAAATAAGGACCCATTAGCATATTAAAAAGTAGCCTACACATGATCTAATAGACAAAACGTACCTGAAGGAACAGGTAATCTCACGTTACCCAACATGAAAGGTTCTTTCAGAAGGTCATAAATTCCTGTCCTCCCTGAAAAGTCAGTGGCTGGCCTGCTGACAGAAGCTACTGTTAGGAAGTCTGGTGCTCTGCCTTGGGTGCACTTTCATGGAAACAGGAACAGTCAGGACTTGGAAAAGTCTATACAGAACAGCTGGAATAGATAGGAGAGAAATATGTTTTCCTCCTCATCCTCCTCCATACATAGAAACATATATGTACGTATTCATTTATACATACATATATATCTCTGAGGGTTAGAAGAGTGTGTGTGTATAAATAAGCTTTGCATGTAACAACTATCCCATATTTGCTAGGGATTCCAGCCTTATATTTATGATTAGGAGCTCAGAGTAGAAAACAAGTCAAGAATTTCCTAGAACGAAGGCTTTTTTCTTGCAATTAAATTATTGCTGAATTCTACTTAGACTGAGAAATGTTTTGGAAATGTCTGGTTTATTTGTAGCCTCTAGAGGGCACCTTATCCTTACACACTGAGAGCTTAACTCGTGTTTATTACATTGCACCTGTCTGTGCTGGGAAAAGAACTAAGGAACTAAAATAACAGATATTTTAGAGGAAATGAGCAATTGCTATTATTTTTATTCTTCTGTTATAAAACCGGATGAGTTTAATCAAAGAAAAATCATGTTAGCATAAGGAGAAAATCAAGGTGATTAGAACTGGTAAGCAATGAAGTATCTCTTATTTTAAGAGGTCAGTTTAAACCCAGATCTAGCTGTTATTTGTCATGATTGCTTTTTGTAATTTCTTTGGCTTTTCTTTTTATTCTTGTTTATTGATTGATGTGAAGTCTTGGTCAGGATGTTCTTACTATTTAGTGTAGAATATGTGAGGACCATGCATATTGGGAATGAGATCTATTTTAAAGCCCCTGTGAGTTTTGTTTGAAAATGTTTATTATGCCTTGTAATAAAGGAATGTCTGATCAATATATTGTCATGATACTCAGCAGTCCTAATCTTGATTAGAACAGCTATTTTTGAGAAAGCAGTAAGTGTTGGGGCACCTTAATCTGTCCTTTTGGCACGTAGATAGATATCAAAATATTCTTCGTGTAATCTGAACAATTGCCAGGGCTCTCCTCAATGGAAAATACTTCTTCCTTATCTGGTCTAACAGCTTGGGCTTGCATAAACATACTGTCGATTTTAACTTAGTGGCAGAAATCTCTTTCCTTCCTTGGCTGGAATAGAAGTTTAGGTAGAATATGTGTACTTATGCTAAAAGGGACAGGGACAGTATCTTTGGGGCTTTGTTCTGCAGCCTTTCATGATAAATCTTGGTGCAGTGCATTCTGCTAAGGTAATACTTAAAATTTGTCCTTAGAGTTCTTCTCTTTCACATCTGACCCAAAATATCATTTTTTTTGAATCTGAGTTTTAACTGCAGTCCATTATTTGACTGGGAAGATGAGGCCATCACCGTAGCTTCATGTAGCTGAGAGTTACTGGAAAGAAAATGCATAGGAAAAAGGAAGTAACCACATGAGCCTGCTTAGGATAACAGATATGATGGAGGATATTGCATTTTTCTTGTCTGCCTGGTGGTAGATGGAAGAAGAATAATTTTCATTTGCAGTTTCTGTTCTTGCATCAGTTTCTGTGTCTTCTACTTTTTGCTTTTTGTCTCGCAGTATCCTTGGTAATAGCACAAGATTAATTACCTAATGACACTGAATCCCATGTGCAAATGGGAACCCAAATACACCTAGAACAGCTTGCTATATTCTTCCAGTTTCTGCTTTCTGCGGGATGTGGATTAATCACTTTCACTTTCAGAAGTGTAACAGCCAAAGTTCCCTGATGTATTTCTTTGCATTACTACAGCTTCAGTTATTGCAAATATCAGTGAGGGATTGAAACTGATTGTAGGTGGTATTCTGTATCACTTGATTTATGATTTCAAACTGTAATTCAATATACCTGGTAGTGTAATTCATACTTGAAATAAAATAGTTTTCTCCCTTACTATATTATGCTGCTCTTCATATGAGAAAGTTTAGGGTTACTCTGAAGTGAATGTAATGAAATAAGCCTTTATTTTAAAATAAAGGACAAACTTCCTATCTAATTTGGAAAGATTTAAATATGTACAAATGAACCTGCCTGAATCAGGAACCTAGTGTGATAGTAAAGTGTTCTTTTGGGATTATGAGGGAATTTAATGTCTTGGGTGTTATATTGGGTTTTGTTTGTTTGTTTGTTTGTTTTGCATTAGCCCTTATATTCAATGCCAGAATGTGCACAGCCCTTAAGAAAACTTAAGGACTACGATAGTGATAGTAGCTGTGATAGCGGTAGCAGTGTGTCAGAATCGGAGGAAGAAACTGAAAAGGAAGATCACAATGAAAAAAAGGAGAAAAAAGTTTCATATGATCTTGAAGAAAATAAATGCAAATCTTTGGAACGATCAGGTAAGTGAAATTACCACTTTTCCAAATAAGTCTGGCATTCGTGATGAAGTTTATAACATGCTTCAGTATTTTAGAATGTATCAACAATTATATCTCTGGTTTGCTTGTTTCGTCTTCTTTAAAATCTTTTCTAAATTAATGAAAATGAATTTAAAAAAAAAAATTCTTTTGCCAAGAATGCTAAAGAGAAAATTACACCTGGGCTATCACCTAGGCTACACTTAGAAATGGTGTGAATGTTCCACTTCACTCTTGGATTTTTTTGAGTAGATTGTAATTTTCTGGAATATAGAAAGGATAAAGAATGTATCTGGAAACATACAGAAGGTAGTATATTCAAGATGAGATTCCTGCACTGATTTTTTTTGGTGATTATTTTCTTTCTTGCTGCAGAACATCAGTGTTAGCATCTTCTGTTGAATGTGGTAGATATAGCATGTTATTTTTTGTTGTAGCTATGTATCATCTCTAAGAATTTTGTCATGTAATTGCACACATACAATGCTGCTTCTAAATTTTTTTTCATAGCAGCATCCTTTCTTTAGCAGAAGACTCAGTTTAAAAACTGTGTAGCTGTGCAGGAGCAGATGAGAGAGACTGGATCTGCAAATACGAGATCCACCAACCAAATTTTCTCTCTTGCTTCCATATTCTTACAGTCAGGGAGCCACTCATAGTAGCCACATACTTTCTGACCTCTAGGGCATATGCACTCTGTTGTAAATCTGATGCATGTTATAGAGGACTGGAATCTACCTGATGAAAGCTGACTATGAAGAAGAAAATAAAATGTTCTTTTAGAGTACATGAAATATGTATTATTAAGGGATCTGACATGACTGACTGCTACATATATAATTGTTAGTTAGCATTTGTCCTAGTACAACATATGTGCCCACATGTTGGTCCTGTATGTTGTTAGTTCCAAAGATTGAAAAATGGGTGCTAAAAGAATAATATTGCATCATTCATTTAATTTGTCTGCAGGTAGAATGAACTGGAAACCTTCAATCAAAAATACAAAATCTCCATCAAATTCATCCCCCACATCATCCACTGGTCCAATAAGGCGTTCAGTAAGCTGCCCTCGTTCAATATCAATATTGACTATGCAGTCACAAGCAGCTGAGCAACGATCCTTTTCAGCCAAGGCATCTACACAAATCCAGCGTGCATCCTCAGTGAACAGGTCTCATTCTTTAAATCGCAGCCCGTCTTCAGCCAGAGTCTCTCAGACACCCAGCTTGGGAACCACAAACTCTTTGGGGGTGAGTTAACACAGCAATTGCATTCAAAATGTGTTCCATTTCTCTAAAACTCAGTAAGTAATTTTTACAATGTCAGAAAACCTGAGGTACTATAGTCAATGCTATTTTGACAGAATCTCAGGAATAGAAGATCTCTAGACATGCATGTGGCTTACAGTAAGCACTATCTGTGATGTTTCAGTGCTTCTGGTACAGCAATACAAATGTCACATTTTGTGAGAATGGAAATCTCAAAGAGTTGTGATTGTGAAACCTGCTTTTCACTTTTGACTTTTGTGACCAGACTGTCATCCTCTTTAGATCCTTCACAACCCAGGAATTTCTTCTTTTGTGTTTGCATGGTGGACCACATACCCGCTTATCCCTATGCAGCGTTTACAGGAATCAGTGTCGTTGTTTAGACAGTTGTTCTATCACCTGATGACCCCTCCCGACCTGGGGAGGGGAATCAGGAAAAGGAAAAGAGACCCATGGGTTGAATTAGAAACAGATTTAATAAAATAATAATAATATTAAACCCCATTATTAATAGCAACATTAATATAAAGTACACAGAGTTATACACAGATGATACAGTGGTCACAAGAAGTAGGAGAGCAGGCCTTGGGAACAGAATGATGGGTGAGACCCTCCAAGGAGGAAAACCATCCAGGAAAGTGGACCATCCCCAGCAATCTCCACAGTTTATAGTGACCTTGACATTTATGGTATGGAATAACTCTGTTGGCCAGCTTGGGTCATCTGCCCCGGCTTTCGCTTCCCTCAGGTTCTGTGTGTGGTTAACTTAAAACTGCTCAAACCCTCGATTGCTACATACCAGTGTTGGCCGAAAAGTAAAACAAAGTGTCTTAGCAACTTTGTTTCCATGAAATGAGTACTGCAGTCTCCAGAAATGCAGCTTTCTGGAATAGAAAGTGGGTGTTGGTGCCAGTGCACTTCCATTCATGCTTTGGTGCCTGACCTGTATGTTTCATCACCCAAATAATTAACCTGGAGATGGAGCAAAACAAATTGGCACTTTTAACCCGTTTTTGCAGCCTTTCTCTATTGTGGTGCGCTTTAATGATGAGAAATCCTCTTACAATGCTAATTAACTTGCTTCATAGTACTTACAATCTTGAATCATCATTTCTACCCTGTAGAACACTCATTGTCTGTTTTGCCTGTGAGGCTTTGAATGATGAAAAAGGATCCTTCTAAAATTGTGTGCTGACATCTTGTGAAATACTCTTTAACATGGTTTTCCATCTTTAAAGTCAGCTACTGGAATTGGAAACACATTAAGATTGTGTCTTCTCCGCAACGTGTTAAAGGTATTTTTTATCACATTAGCTATCTCAGGTTTAAAAAGTACTCTTTTATCATCAAGATATACTCTAGGAGTTTAATGAGACAGGGCTAATATAGATTTTTCTATTCACATTAACTCTATATCAAATACAAATTACTGAAAGATTAAAAACAGTCTCTTACCATCTGACATTAAAAATGGGCCACTCACTTAAATTAACATTAGTAAGAAACCATACTCTCTTTTTTGTTGAGAAAGCTCCACCACAGAAATGATCTTGATATGCAGAACAATTATGTTGGGTGATAGAGCTTAGGTCATGCTTCTTGAAATAATGTGAAGAAAATTACTTACAGAATGGATAAGAACTACTCATAATTTAGCACTGTATTGTGAATGAAACTCTGTTCGTAATTATTTTTGCAACTAAGAATAATATAATATATATTACTGCTAGAATAAAATTAAAGTTGATAAACTCTAAATTTCTAAGAAGAAATCATTTGTGCATGATAAAGTATTAGTTTATCTATCCTTTGGGCAAGAAAGGAGGAGTATATTGCCATTTTTGGAGGCTGCTGTGATCCACATGTACTAAAGGTATGGAAATGAGATTTAGAATAAGTCATTTACAGTGGGGAATTATAAGTGCATTACGGTAGTGGTTACAAACAACAGTGGATTTTGGAAATACTTGCTGTCTTCTTATTTCAGCCACATTACTATATATCATATAACAAAACATTTTGTTATGCTTAAAAGCATTTATCATTTAAGCAAAAATATCCTTAAGTAGGCATTGTAGTTCTTACAAAATAGAAAGATTTAGAAAGGCCTAAAAAAGGCAAAGTCTTACAGAGACAAGCCAGAGGCTCCTGAGGTGATAGGAGCCAACAGGGCAACTTCCACGAAACACCCTGGGGAAAGGAAGGGATGTCCATCTAAGAAGGTGACATGGCTGGCAGCAGAGCTGAAATACCTCTACGCCACTGCACACAGCATGGGCAACAAACAGGAGGAGCTGGAGGCTCTCATGCTACAGGAAAGCTACAAATTAGTGGCCATTACTGAAACTTGGTGGGATGAATTCCATGACTGGAGTGTGGCTATTCAGAAGGGACAGAAGAGGAAGGAGGGGTGGAGGTGTTGCCCTCTATGTTAAGAAATGGATAGAGTGTGAAGATTTGTCCCTAAAGAATAGCCATGAGCAGGTTGAAAACTTATGGAATCGAGACAACAAAGGGAGCCTTGTGACTGTTGTCTACTGCAGGCTGCCTGATGAAGGGGAGCCTATTGATGAAGCCCTCAAGGGAAACAGCCCTCAAGGACGAAGGAGTGGAACAGAGCTGGCAGATCATTAAGGAGGCTTTCCATGGAGTGCAAGAGCTCTCGATCCCCAGGTGTAGGAAATCGGACAGGGAAGGCAAGAGACCAGCATTGATAAATCGAGATGTGCTGGCCAAACTAAAAGGCAAGTTGGAACTGCATAGGTAGTGGAAGCAGGGACAGGTTTCCTGGGAAGAGTACAGAGAAGTTGTCCGGGTGTGTAGGGACAAGGTCAGGAAGACCAAGGCACAGCTGGAGCTGAACTTGGCAAGGGATGCCAAGAAAAACAAAAAGAGCTTCTACGGGTATGTAAGCCAGAAAAAGAAGGTTAAAGAAAGTGGGCAACCTGGTCTAGTGGGAGGTGTCCCTGCCCATGGCAGGGGGTTGGACTAGATGATCTTTAAGGTCCCTTCCAACCTAAACCATTCTATGATTCTGTGATTGTGTCCTCTCCCTGATGAGCAGCAATGGTGAACTGGTAACAACAGATGAGGAGAAGGCTGAGGTTCTCAAAAACTTTTTTGCCTCAGTCTTCACTGGCAACCTCTCTTCTCACAGCTCTTGAGTTGATGGCCCACAAGACAGGGACCAGGGAGAAAAAGTCCCTCCCACTGTAAATGAAGATAAGGTTTGTGACCATCTGAGGAACCGGAATATACACGAGTCCATGGGACCTGATGAGATACAACCCAGAGTCCTGAAGGAATTGGCTGATGTAGTTGCCAAGTCACTCTCCATGATATTTGAAAAGTCATGGCAGTCAGGTGCAGTCCCTAGTGACTGGAAGAAGGGAAACGTCACACCCATTTTTAAAAAGGGTAGAAAGGAGGACCCTGGGAACTACTGACCTGTCAGCCTCACCTCTGTGCCTGGGAAGATCATGAAGCAGATCCTCCTAGAAGCTGTGCTGAGGCACATGGAGGACAAGGAGGTGATTCGAGACAGCTAGCATGTCTTTGTTAGGGGCAAGTCCTGCCTGACCAGTCTAGTGGCTTACTACAATGGGGTAACTGCATCAGTAGACAAGGGAAGAGCTATGGATGTCATCTATCTGGATTTCTGCAAAGCCTTTGAGACTGTCCCCCACAACATCCTTCTAAGTTGGAGAGCTATGGATTTGATGGGTGGACTGTTCGGTGGATAAGGAATTGGCTGGATGGTCGCATCCAGAGGTTAGTGGTCAATGGCTCGACGTCCAGATGCAAGACGGTGACAAGTGGTGTCCCTCAAGGGTCTGCACTGGAACCAGTGCTGTTTTAATACCATTAATGATATTGACAGTTGGACTGAGTGCACCCTCAGCAAGTTTGCTGATGATGCCAAGCTGGGTGGTGAGGTTAATGTGCAAGAGGGAAGGGATGCCATCTAGAGAGACCTGGACAAACTGGAGAAGTGCGCCCCCGTGAACCTCATGAGGTTCAACAAGGACAAGTGTAGTGTCGGGTAGGGGCAATCCTCATTACCGATACAGGCTGGGAAATGATGTGCTGGTAAGCAGCCCTGAGGAAAAGGACTTGGGGGTACTGGTGGATGAGGAGCTGGACATGAGCCACCAATGCACATCTGCAGCCCAGAAGGCCAACAGCATCCTGGGCTGCATTAAAAGAAGTGTGGCCAGCAGATGGAGGGAGGTGATTCTGCCTCTCTACCCTGCTCTGGTGAGACCTCACCTGGATACTTTGGAGTCCTCAACACAAAAGGGATATCTAAGTGCTGGAGAGGGTGCAGAGGAGGCCACAGAGATGATCAAAGGGCTGGAGCACCTCTCCTACGAAGACAGGCTGAGAGAGTTGGGGTTGTTCAACCTGGAGAAGAGAAGGCTCCAGGGGGACCTTATAGTGACCTTCCAATACCTGGAAAGGTGCCTATAAGAAATCTGGGGAAGAGCTGTTCACTAGGGCATGTAGTGACAGGACAAGGGTAATGGTTTTAAATTAGATAAAGGGTAGATTTAGGTTGGATATTAGGAAAAAGTTCTTCAATATGAGGTGGTAGATCACTGGAACAGGGTGCCCAGAGAGGTGGTGGAGGCCCCATGTCTGGAGATTCTCAAGGTCAGGTTTGATGGGGCTCTGAGCAACCTGGTCTGGTAACATTGTCCCTGCTCACTGCAGGGGTTGGACTGGATGATCTTTAAAGGTCCCTTCCAACCCAACACATTCTATGTTTCTATGAAATCTGGCACATTGACATAGAATTGGCAGTTTCTGTTAAATTGTTGCATTGAAGAACTGAAAATAAGATTTTTGTGACTGGTAATTTCTTTTCATTGTATTGAATTTCAATTCAAAGTCTGATATCTAAATTTCAAATTTAAAATATAAATGATGGGCATCATAAATAGAAAATGTCTATTCGTTCTTACATTTGAACTGTTTTTCTTTAATTTCATTACAACTACAAGTAATGGTGATGCATTAGAGTACATGAGGCATATATTTGTATATTATTTATATATTAGATATTATGTCTATGTACTTTAATAATATATTTTGTCACCTTATTTAGAATTTATTTTCATCTTTGTAATGGCATGCCTGAAATTTTTCCTCTGCTTCATATTGTGTTTTAGACTGAGTCTTTGCTGCAACAGAAAACAAAAGAGCAAGAAGTTGCTTTGACAAAAGAGACTCTTCTCATTATGAATGACATGAGAATGAAGTTCCCAGGAAAAACAGATGAAGAATCAGAGTTAATTATAGAAGATGTAAGTATCTATAAATAAGAAAGAAGAATTACAGGCTAGACACTTAATGTTCAGGCCACTAAACTGAAGAAAGTAGAAAGCTCAGTTTATGATTCATGAGCTTCTGTGGCCTTAAAACTTCCATAACTCAGGATAATTCAAAAGATTTCAAAAGCTTGGAGCTTTGCATACTTTCTGACCTTAAAAGAACAGCACTGAAAACATTCCCATGTCTTTATAAAATACATGAGAAACAATCTGAAAGGTTAGGAAAATCCAGTTTTTCATTGTGGAGAAAGTTCAAACTCTTCAGTAAGTTCAGAAGAATGTTACAATTCATTAACAGTTTATATTTCATCTGATACTGTTAGTACAAATCATGACATGTTTAACTTGCTCTCAGATAGGCATACCGGAGAACTCTGAATGGTATGCTGCAAGGCAAGCTGGAAGTTCGCTAGTCATGAAGTACACCAGTCACACTCTTTTTGGCTCTTCTAGTCTGCCAGCTTAGCCTTCCTTACATCCAACACTGTCCTGAGCCTCATTGTTTGGTGTCAAAGACATGTGCAACAATGCCTGATCTGAAGGCCATTTAAAAAGCAATGCCTAATATTCAGATATATAAGTAGAAGATATAAGCAGAAAATACATGGTATCTAAATCTCTTTAAAAATCTAGTGCAAAGAAACTAACATCAGATTGGAAATGAAAGAAAATACAGGTAGAAGTTCTTTTCTCAGTCTAGTAGAAATATGGAGGGATCTAGTAATTCTAATTAACACCTGTATTCTGATGTAGTAAGCACAGTCCATGGTGTGTTAAAATTAATCTAATTCATTATCTGCTTGGAAATGTCCCTTGCTCTGTGGGCTTTCAAAATGTTGATTATGTCTCTAGTCATCTGTGCAATTACATCACATTGGAAAGGATTTGTCCTGTAATGATGGTTGATTTGGGTGATTCTGGAAGGTAGCATTCATAACTCGCATACTGCGTTTATCATCTCAGAAACAAAAATAAAATGCTTCATTAAATTTCCTCTTTCAGATGTGCGTGTGCATTTGTGTATGCATGGGAGCGTGCATGTATGCACTCCATCTAGTGGTGCTTTCTTATACAACGTTAGTGTGGTTTTAAATGCACTTTCTTATATTGCAGAATTCTTTTATAAATTCATCTGGCCTTAACCAGTTTCTGATGGGAAATAATGCTTCATCATGGAAGGAAACAAGTAATGCTATATCAGTTATCAGTGAGGCAGAACTTGTCATAGGTCTGGAACAGAACAGAAAGATAAAATAACAAAATGAAAATAAAAAAGTACATTCACAGCATGCGCTATTTTGGTAGAACTTAGACATCATAAAAGTAGAGTATTGCAATTCATATATAATCGTTTTTAGAAAGGATGTTTTCAAGGTATGTCTAATGTCCTTTTTGCAGCAAAAACCCGCAATATTTAAATAGATTAACAGTTACGCATTATTGAACTTATTGCTGTGTTCAAGGAATCTGAGCTGAGTCAGTCAACACAAGTTTCTACCTGATTTGTAGTGTACAACTGTCAGAATCAAGTGGAAAAGAGGGTAGGATTAAACTGAAATATTACACACATCTTTGCAAACATTTCCCCACATAAATTTCCAAATATTTTTCTATTTCTTTCAGAGAAAAGCTCTTTTCACAGTGGTCTTTTAGACGCTTGTGCTTTTTAGCATTAGGAATGCTCACGAGTAAAATGCCAGTTTTCAGTTTGTTTTACATATATGGCTTTTGTCTTGTGTTTTGGAATGACTACAGATTATGGATAATTGGAAGTATCATAAAACAAAAGTGGCATCCTATTGGTTGGTAAAACTGGATTCTGCAAAGCAACGAAAAGTAAGTGACTTACATTTTATTTTCTGAAGATCATCTGAAGATGCACAGCAATGTTTCTCCTGGTGTTTAGCAGTAGCTGGGAGTGACTTGAGACGCTAAAATACTGACTATTAATGCTAACATGTATATGAATCAAGTTCATTGCAGGAAATTATGTTGCTTCATATTTAGATAGGCATAATTGTCCTGGAATATAATTTCAAAAACAGTTTCTTAAAAAAATAGTCTGCTGAAAGAAAAGCAAGCAAATAAATAATTAATGCTTACATACCTAATTTTTAGCAAACATTCTTAGAAGTGTATTGATTGAGCAGATTTGATTGATAAGGGATAAACTACTCAACAGATTTAGATGAGGAATATTAAAACTTCACTAGAGTTGGTGATACTGCACTTGGTTATTTGAGTCTATTTGACCCACAGTATTACAGCACATCATGCTGAATAAAAAGGAGACCTGCCAAGCAAAGATTTTTGACATTGTTACAATGTTCAGCTAAGTGGTTTAGTCATAAAAAACAGTAACTTTATTTGTGTATCGTTCTGTCTTCATTCATCTGCTATCTATGAGCTACTGTTGTGCATAGCATCTAAAGACTTTTTAATCTGTTTAAAACCTGACATGTGGTAGAATGTCAGTCATATCTGTATGTCATATGTCAGTAAAAATCATCTTCCCAGTGTAGTATTTATTTTCCTTAATGTTGCAGAAATTATTATTAATAATTTGGTGCCCCTAAAGCAGTATTTTGGGTCTTTCTCTGCCTCAATCACTGACACATTATGTGGATTAGCATATCAAGTCCAGACATTTAATCTATGTGTGTCTCAGTTTCACAATCTATTTTTATAGCCCATAAACAAAAGTAACTTTATCAAAATGCTGCACACATGATAAAAATTATAATTGGAACAGGTTGGTAGATGGTTTAGAAGAATGGAAGAACAATTTCAGATCCTCATCTCAAATTACTTTTTATAAAACCAGCAGTATGATCCTCAGTCTTTCAAATTGTGTTTTATTGAATACTGCATTAAATTCTTGTATTTTCATATTGGACAGAGAACATTTAAAAGTACATTTAATATGATGTCATATGATAGAAATATATTTGACTATTCAAGTCCAGATATTAAATGGAATACGTGTCCACATAGGTTTCTAAAATTAATTAGACATGACAAACTGAAGAAGAACTTGGAAATGAAGGAGGCTATAATTTAATCAAAATTCTTCTCAAACCATGTCAAACAGCAGCACAGATCTATAATTTAGCAGAATTATTTCTTGTACCATTGACAGCAGAGCAACCAGCTTCATTGGCTGAAACGGTTTTGATTCAGCTGTTCTGCTGAACAGTCGTTTGCTTAAAATGATCTCTTATTTCTTTTTAATTACAGGAAAGACTGCTATAATCCCACTATACCCACACATACGTCTTTTCTATTGTGTGCATATGGCAGTGGTAGCCTTTTGCCCAAAACCAGAGAGAGTTTTAGTGGGGTCTTGTAGAAAATGGTGAAAAGGAGGAAGAGCTGCTAGGAGGGAGGGAGGGATAGATAGGTGCATACATGCACAGAAAACGGCCCAAAAAAATAGGCTGCTGCAGTGGAGTTCTCATTTTCTCA